GGTAAGAAATGTATGCATTATCCTGCCCATGTAATTGTAACCCCTCTGTACAGTATGTTCACAAATAAAATTAAATTAAATTAAAAAAAAAGAAATGTACTCATTTTGCCCATGTAATTGTAACCCCTCTGTACGGTATTTTCACAATAAAAAAAAAAAGAATGAGAAGAAGCCTATAAAACAGTAAATGAGCAATAAACATGATCAGAGAACTATATATGCATTCAGGACAATGTCCTGAAACTCTTTAATTGGAATAAATTAAATAAATATAAAAATGATGCTTTCACAAACAAAAAAAGACTACACACATATTATGAATAATATAAAGGTAGTAAGATTAATTTATTTCAAATAGAACTTTGGATTTTTTCTTTATTATTTTTAGGGATTTTAAAAAACTTCTCATCGGTGTAAGTGATCTTCCTAGGCAATGTCTTAATATTTAATTGTATTTACAGAACTCAACGTAGTATGAATGGTCCTTTTGCTCCAGGGCTGGAGATTACCTCCAAGCTGTTTGTGGTTTCACATGATGCAAAGTTGCTCTTCAGTGCTGGACACTGGGATAATAGCATTCAAGTGATGTCACTTACAAGAGGCAAAATTATCTCACACAACATCAGACATATGGGTAAGCATTAACTTTTGCAAAATACTTTTTTCTGATTTTTAATTTATATAACTATATGATTATAGTTACATACTATTTGTTCCCTAAAAGACTGTATAATATTTTGGCACCATATAAATTAAATATACCTTCATAGTGTATGGTAGATATTAGATGAAATCTTCTTTTTTTCAATTGGCTGATGTGGCCTGAGACTATAGCATAATGGTAGAGTACTTGCCAAGCATCCATAAAGCCCTGGCTTTAATTCCTGGTACCACATTAAAAAATAAATAAAATTAAGTTTTAGAAAGTTGATGCTAGAAATAAGGATTTTAGGACAAAATAATGTCATTATTAAGTAATAATCAACTGCCCTATTATGTATTAAACGCTAAAGCATGAAACATTAAAACTGCTGATATAGTTTAACTTGGATATCTTGTGGAATAAAACATTGAGTTAGGGTAAGTTTTTCTGTTTTTTTTTTTTTTTTTTTGTCAGTTGTGGGGCTTGAATTTAGGACCTGGGTGCTGTCCCTGAGTTCTTTTGCTCAAGGCTAGTGCTCTATCACTTTGAGCCACAGTGCCACTTTCAGTCTTCTGGTAGTTAATTGGAGATAAGAGTCTTACAGTCTTTTCAGCCTGGACTGGATTCAAACTGCAATCCTCAGGTCTGAGCCTCCTGAGTAGCTAGGATTATTGGATGAGCCAGAGGGTTGGTTTTTTTTTCCCTCCAATAAACCTATTAGAGAACAAATACAGAGTTTATTCCTAATTCTATACCTTTGATTCCTAAGATGTCAATTAACTTAGTTACTTACAGTTCAGGGGAAAAAAATTATGTTGTGAATTTACAGAATAATAATATACACTGTTTCATAAGGGTACATATCCTATAGGATTGTAATGTCTAATGTGAAGAGAAGGTGACTAACATGAGGGAGCATAGAAATGAATCAAAATTACCTTCCCCAAAGATTCTAATATGCATTCTACATACCCCACTTCCATATCTCACTCTCAAAAAGAATTGTCTCAAAGAAAGCTCTGCTAGGTGCTTTCAATTCTACTTCTTGCCTTTATCATTTACTACAATGTTTTCCCAATGCCATTCCTATTAGAATACTTGATTTAATAACAGTTTGAAAATAAACAAAATTGTCCTTGAAGTTTTGTTGCAGCAAAATCAAGCCATTTTGTTTCATTTTATTCCTTTTTCTTATAGATATTGTGACTTGCTTAGCTACAGATCACTGTGGAATTCATTTGATTTCCGGTTCCAGAGATACTACATGTATGATATGGCAAATAATAAATCAGGTAGTCACTCATTTAAATGTTCTTAATTTATATCAGAGACTCACTATGAGAAAACTAAGATGACTTTTAAAACGGTAATTAATTTTTCCCTGGCTGTGAATGACTTTTTGAGCTCCTTTACATTGTTTTATCAGTATTTTGTCCTATCTTGATCAACACAGGCTATTTCTAGGTTTATTTTCTGATTCATTTCCTTATACTTCATTACTTTCCAAAATTTACTCATTTTCAAATTCTCCTAGGAAAATAGTAACTTTTCTTCTTATAGAATAATATTCCTATGGTTCTTTCTGGTGATACTAGTAGAAATTACAAATTTATAATTTCTATCAACCTTTTATTGCCTTTTTATAATATTAGTTCATAATGAGACATTTGAAATGTCTTCTATGTTTTCTACCTTGCTTTAATAGACTATCTCACCCAGGATGTATATAGTTTTCTTCTGACTTTAAAGTAGTTTTTATTTTACAATGCTTAGTTATTTTTATTATATATATATATATATACATACATATATATACACATATACATATTTTTGTTGCTGTTGTTGTTGTTGGTTGTGGGGGTTTAGGGGCGCTGACCCTCAGCTCTACAGCTCAAGGCTAGCGCTTTACCGCTTGAGCCAAAGTGCCACTTCTGGCTTTTTCTGCTTATGTGGTGCTGAGAAATTGAACCCAGGGCCTCATGCATTCAAGGCAAGCACTGTACCACTGAGCCACCTTCCCAGCCCTATTATATATTTTTAAAACTTTCTATTTCTGAATAGAAAGCAAACCACCTTATCCTATGAACTAGATCTTTTTCCTAGACTCCATTCTTTTACATTTACTTCTTTTTCTATGAATTATCAGTGTTTTCATTTTAGCATCTTAGTATTTGGTTAGATAAATTCCTACCTCACTGTGTTTCTTTTCCTTAAGCTTATCTCAGCTATTCTCATATGAATAGTTATTCTTCCTTATAACCCTTAAAAATATTTTAGCCAAACCCTCCTTAATAAAACAAACTTAATGTTTCCCTTACTAAAATCATATTTAACTAGGTATGGTAGCACATTCCTGTAACCTTAGCACTTGCGAAACTGAGGCCAGCATGGGCTACATAGTGAGACACTGTCTCAAAATGAACAAAAGAAATTATTTAATTTTTATTCATTTAGAATGGTATTATTATTGCTATCCAAAAACACAAAATGCATTCTCATAATTGTTAGTTCTTTTGAGAAAAAGAAAAAATAATTGGTAGTACTGGGTTTAGCTATTTTTATTTATTTACCTTTGCAGTACTAGACTTTCCACTCACTCACTGTGCTTGCTAGTAGACTGGCCCTTTACCAGCCTACACTTCTGTGTTATCATACTTGTATTCCTATTTTAATTTTTAAAATCATTTCATTTCCAATTATTATTACAATAAAAGAAAGCAGTATTGTGATTTGTTTGATTTCTTTATAGTTCTCTTACATTGAGTCACTTTCCATAAAACTCCCTATCCACCTTATTAGTAGTTTATATATTTTCTGGGTAACAATCATTTGGTCTGAAAGTAAAGATGACTTTGTGTTTTCTAGTATATATTTTTTTCTTATCCTAATTTATTATTGACTAGTATAATAAGGTAAGAAAATGTCCGACATCTGATTTGATGAAAATGACCACTATTTTGTCATGGAGTCATATTTGCTATTGCTTTTCATCAGTGTTTCACATTTAGGTATTTTCCTTTTCCCTATTTTCTTTTAGTAACTTTTTCATTTTAATAAAATTTCAAACTTATACTATTGCAAAAATAGTACTTTTTTGGGCTATTTGACTTAACATTGTCTAAGTATCTCCCTCCAACATTGTTTTCTTTCATCTGTTGAAAAGTTGGAGTTATGTTCCTTTACTCCCAAACCATTCCATGTATATGTATTAAGATCAAAGACATTCTAGTATATAGCCAAATTACCAAACTCAGAGTGTTTAATGTTAATATAATGTTACAATCTTATCTACAGTTTATGGTCTGATTTTGTCAGTATTACCAGCAATGCCATCTGCAGTCTCATTTATTTGAGTTTTTGTGTGTGTGTGTGTGTGTGTGTGTGTGTGTGTGTGTGTGTTTGTAAGCAATCAAAACATTTTCTAGGCTTGAACCATACTTGGATTCCTATAATAAAACCATCTGTTGTATGTAGTGTTATTACTATTATACTTTGGTAGTGTGTTTTACTAGTACTTTAATTTTTTCTCTATTCCTTTATGAAATAGATCAGTTTTTGTCTGTTTTTGTCATGCTTCATCTTGAGATACTGTAAACCATTTTTAATATTGTAATTACTTGCAATATTACTTTGTTACTAGAATGTTTAAGCGCAGTATAAACCTTGTTATAAGAATAAAAAGAACAGCAAGAAATCCCTTTTTCTTTTTCTTTTCAATATTAGGGAGGCACTCCTGTGGGCTTAACATCTAAACCTCTTCAGGTTTTATATGGACACACTGATGAAGTATTGAGTGTGGGCATCAGCACAGAACTAGACATGGCAGTGTCAGGATCAAGGGTAAGATTTCACTTTTGGAAACATTAATTACTTTTTCCATAAATTTAGTAACAAGGTTTATATCTAAATATTTGCCTTGGAGAAATGGGAAAATAAATTTTATTGCATATTCATTTTAGACATATGCAAAAGGGGAGTAATACCAAAAAAAACCCTTATAGAGTCAAACTTTGGGAATTTTATTGGTTTTACTAGTTAAAGGAATAGGTAGTCTATAAATTAAAACATGGTTTGAAGTTTCAAGATTTGTGGAGTTTTTTTCCCTCCTAAGGTTTTAATGTCTTTAGTACAATAGTCATTTTCTCCATTTCTTTGCTACTTTTTTTTCATTTTTCTTTTGTTTATTTATTTATTTATTCTTTTTTATTGTGAAAATACTGTACAGAGGGGTTACAATTACTTGGGCAAGATAATGAGTACATTTCTTATCAAGCA